GTTGATCCACATTGCTCTTAGGGAGGGAATTCCAGGATTATGGCCCAGCAACACTGAAGAAACGTCCGACGTATTTCCAAGTCAGGATGGTGAGTGGCTCAGAGGGGAATTTGCACTGGTGTTCCCATGTATCTGCTGCCCTTTTCCTTCCAGATGGAAGTGGCCATGGGTTTGGAAGGTGCTGCCTGAGAATCTTTGGTGAATTTCTGCAGTGTGTCTTGTAGATGGTACACATTGTCGCAACTGAGCATCAGTGATGTAGGGATTGGATGCTTGGGGATGTGGCAATCAAGTGGGGGCTGCTTTTTCCGTGGATGGTGTTGAGCTTCTCAAGTGTTGTTGGAGCTGCACCCATCCAAGCAAGTAGGGAGTATTCCATCACACTACTGACTTGTGTAATGTTGATGTTAGATAGGCTCTGGGGAGTCAGGAGGTGAATTGTTCGCTGCAGGATTCCGAGCATCTGGAGTACTGTGTGCATTTCTGGTCTCCTCCCTACAGGAAAGATGTGATAGCACTAGAGGGGGTACAGAAGAGTTTCACCAGGTTGTTTTCTGGGTTGGAGAAATTGAGCTATAAAGAGAGACTAGATAGGCTTGGGATAACAAGGTGCAGAGCTGGAAGAACACAGCAGGCCAAGCAGCATCAGAGGAGCAGGAAAGCTGACGTTTCGGGTCTGGACCCTTCTTCAGAAAAGAAGCACCTTCCACTATCTCTAGATAGGCTTGGATTTTTTTTAGAGCAGAGAAGCCTGAGGAGGGTCATGAATGAGGTGTATAAGATTGTGAGGGAGCTGGACAGGGTGAATGGAGAGCACCTGTTCCCCTTGGTTGAGGGGTCAATCATGAGGGGGCATAGATTTAGTGGAAGGGGCAAGGGATTCAGAGAGGATTTGACAAAAAAAAGCTTTTTCACTCAGCTTCGTGCGAATCAGGAATGCACTGACTGGGAATATAGTGGCGAGCAGAAACCGAAACACCTTTAAAATATACTTGGAGAAGCACTTGTCATGTCATAACATTTAAGGATATGGAACCAGGGCAGGAAATTGGAATTAGCGCACCTTTAGGGGCAGTTATTGTCTGTCTAGACTCAGTGGGCCGAAGGGCCTATTCCACGCTGTATGACTCAATGACTCGCTCAATGGTAACATCCCCCAAGGATAGTGTGTGGGGATACAGTGATGGTAGCACCATTGAACATCAAGGGGCTGATAGTTAGATCGTCTGTTAATGGTAACCCCCAGGATGTTAATACTGAGTGATGCAGTAATGACAACACTATTGAACATCAGAGGGGGCGATGGTTAGATTTTTTTTTCTCTCTCAATGATAATCTCCAAGATGTTGATCTTTGGGGAGAATTAAAGCTCTCCATTAGATTTTGAATCCATCGAACTGCTTAACTCACTTTTAAATTATTTGCATTAAACTGGTCCCCACTGATAGTCTCAATCGATGGGCGAACTCCATGGTTTTCGAACTCGGTGTGTTTTCTCCTCAGTTCCTGTCACAGATGCTGTGCTGATATCCCGCACCAACGGGACTGAGATACAGCCCGGGGACCGCCTTGTTCTCCGGTGCCTGGTGAGGGAAGGCACTGAGCCCCAGTTCATTTGGTACCGTGACAACTTGCCGCTAAGAAACGGCAGTGCGAGCTCCCATGTGACTGCCGATGGTGGTGAGCTGGATATTCATTCATTCCGGAGAGACAATGTCGGGAGATATCACTGTGCAGCGATCAACAAAGGAACCAACGGCACCATTTTTCACGTGACCAGCGACTATATCGAATTCACGCTGCGAGGTAACAGTGACAGTCAGATCAAACATAGACAGGGCACAGAGAAGGGCCTTTTGGTCCATCCAGTCTGTGCCAGTCAGAAACAATTAGCCATCTCAATTGGGAAGGTGACCGCCGGGTGGTATTATCGTGAGGTTATTAATCCAACTACCTTGGTCATGTTCCCGGGATCTCAGTTCAAATCCGCCCATACCCGATGGTGGAACTTGAGCGCAATAAAAATCTGGAAGCATAAGTCTTATGGAGAGGGGCGTGCAGAGGAGATTCACCAGGATGTTGCCCTGGGGTGGAGCATTTCAGCGATGAAGAGAGACTCCATAACCTCAGGCTGTTTTCTTTGGAGCAGGGAAGGCTGAGGGGGAAACTGATAGAGGTGTGTAAGTCTATGTGGCACAGGGATGGCGGTGGGAGAGGGGGGATAGGAAGCAGCTGCTCATCTTTATCCAAGGGTGAATAACAAGGGCAGCATCATTTTAAAGTGAAAGGCAGGAGGTTTAGAGAGGATTTGAGGATTGTTTCACCCAGAGGGTTGTGGGGGCCTGGGAGGGTAGTTGAGGTGGGAAATCTCCCAGCCTTTGAAAAGAACTTGGATGAGCACTCGACGTGCCATAACGTTCCAGGCTGTAGGGGGGCCTAGTGCAGGAAAGTGGGATTTTAGTAGGGAGCTCAATGGGCTGAATACTTCCGCGTTTTCCATACCCCCATGGTGGCAGGGAGTTACGTATCTGCAGGGGTTGGTCCGTCTGATGCTAACCATGTACCTCATACAGGGCTGATGTGGTAAAACTTCCCAGCGAATTTGTTAACGTGAGCCGAATATTGTTGTTGGATTTCAGCTCGGAGTTATTCCACGGAGATCGCGGCCTCGCTCGTCCCAGTTCTGCTGTTCGCCGGCCTGATCGCGTTGGCGTGGTTCATCCACCGGAGGAGGGACACAGGTCTGTAACGTCCCACGGGAATGGGATTTGTTCCCCCTCCCCATATCATGGCACTGCCGTCCCCGCCCCAATGTAACCTTTTCAGTTGAACAGGGTGGGGGGACCTGGGGAAGGTGGTGATGGGTCAGGAACTGGGGTAGACCGTGTTCCTGACACTCGGAAGGAGAGCACTCTCAAAGTTAGCCTCCTGGATCGGGTAAATGTGATCACTACCCCACTCCGTGTTAGAGCACCTCAGAAGAGGAGAGTCATAAGATCATGTGAACCAGGAACAGGAGGAGGCCATTCAGCCCCTCGAGTCCTTGCTCCACTAATCATAACCCTAACCTAAACTCAAACCTCCCCCTAAACTAAATCTTAGTCCCAAACCGAGCTATAATACTCATTCTAATCTTGGCTCTCAGCCAAATGCTAACTAAAACCAATACACTAACTCAAAGCTTAAGCCTCACCCTAGCCTGAACACTGACCCTCACCGTAACCCTCGCCTTAACCCAATGCTAACCCTAAACCTAACCTTAACCCTGAACCAACCTTAACCCTAACCCTGACTCAACCATAACCTGAAATCTAACCATAACCCTAACCCTAATCCTAATCCGAATCCTAACACTAACCTTAAACTGAATGCTAACCCTCAACATAAAACAATCCTTAACCCTAATGCTAACCCTAACTCTAAACTTTAACACTAACCCTAACTCTAGCCCTAACTCTGGCCTTGGCCCTCACTCATACACTAACCTGAACACTCACCTGATCCCTTTCACAGCTGGTTAATGTGCATTAATATGGGTTTGACGATTCTCATCTATTGATGTGTTTGCTGTCTGTTTATGACTGAGAAAGGTCTTTGCAGCTCCTGTCTGTAACAGTGCAAACCTACTGTACAATATGCTAAGAATGTTATCTCTCTACCTGCAGGCAATTCCTCAACTGTGTCACAGCCCAAGAAGTAAGGGGATGAAACTGCAAATTTTATATTTGCCATTGTTTACCCTGATTCCTCTTAATCAGGGAGTGACAACGAGGAGAAGAATTGAGAGAGGAAGCTTGGGTATTGCCATATCCTTCTAACACGAGTCTAACAAACCAGGAAACCATACTCCTGGAAAGTCCCAGGTGGCTTTTATTCATTCACAGGGATGTTGGTGTCACTGGCAGGGCCAGCATTTATTGCCCATCCCTAATTGCCCCAGCGGGCAGTTTTGTTAACCAGCTTCTGGAGTCACAAATGGGCCAGACCAGGTAAGGATGGCAGATTTCCTTCACCAAAGGACATAAGTGAAAAGCAGATGGGGATTTGGGCAGCTCCTTGAGGGTGAGAAAGCTCCATGTTCGGATGGAAACCAGCGACATGGGACCAAGTAATAACAGGGTCTCACTGGGCATTGTATTTTCTGTGATAGCTTTGCTGTTTTGTTGAAGCCGAGCATGGTGTTGAAAGCATTGTGTTCGAAATGACAACTTCCTTCCCTTCCCCTTTCTACTGGAAATAGATGCCAAGCTTCTGGTGAAGGGGCAGCAGCCGGCAATCTGGAGTATGCAGTAATTGGAGCAGCACACAATGCTGGTGAGTGCCATTGAATCGGTGTGATTAAAGAGCCCCACACAGTGACGGTGCACCATAACCTGGGAGGAATTCTGGCCAAAAGTTCCAGCCGTCAGCTGGGCTAGAATGGAGCGGTTTTCCTTGGAGCTGTGGAAGCTGAAGGGGAGGACAGCAGCTAGGAAACAGGAGTAGACCATTCAGCCCCCCTATCCTGTTCTGCCATTCGTTATGATCACGGCTGACCATCTAACTCAGTCCCTGGTTCTGAGAGAAACTAGGAGGCCATTCAGCCTGCCCATTGCCCCACCCATTCGGGAGAGTCACAGCTGACCATCCAACTCAATCCCTGGTTCCCTGCTTTCTCCCCCAGACACTTCAATCCCTTTCACCCTCAAAGGCGCCAACTCCTCCTTCTTTGAGATGTATAAAATGATAAGGGGCAGACATACGGGAGACAGGAAGAAACCTTTCCCCCTTCTTGAAAGAATCAATGACCGGGGGGTTGGGGACATAGATTGAAGGTAAGGGGCAGGAGGTTTAGAGGGGGATGTGAGGGAAAATGTTTTCATCCAGTCGGTGATGGGGAATTTGCAACTCACTGCCTGTAAGTGTGAGAGAGGCAGAATAGCTCATCATGTTGAAGAAAGATTTAGATGTACACTTGTGATGCCAAGGCTATGGGGCCAGGTGCTGGGGAAATGTGATTAGAGAATAGGGAGGTGGTTGCTTTTGACTGGCACAGACCTTATGGGCCGATGGGTCTTCTGATGAGCTGTAGACCTCTATCTTCAACCAGTATCTTTTCCAGATGGCTCTTGCTGTTAATACCCTGTGACTGGACCTCCTTCAGGGTGTTTTACCTGACACACCAATGCTTATTTTACCTGAAGTAACATTAGAAACTGAGGGCGCAGTACTCTGGTATTGAGAAAAGCCAACTGATGTTGGTTACAATGAGTGATTGTGTACAAAGGCTTGGTTCCTCAGAGACACAAGTGC